CACCTCATAGTTCTAGCCGACCTGTGACAATGAGACTGTCACAGGTCGGCTCAGTAGATCGGGAAGTGAGCGAACGCATACCGGCGTTCGCTCACTTCTCGATCATCTCCCTGCAGAGAGCCGTGACTGTGACTCACGGCTCCCCGCAGGGATTCCCCCCTCCCCGCTCCGATCCTCCAGCGCTGACTTGAGGAACGGACGGGGGAGGGGGCGGGTACAGCTGGCTCTGCCTCTAGATAGGCAGAGCCGGCTGTCAGTCACGCAGCTGGGCGGATCTGGACAGTAATGTCGGGATCCGTCCCGGCTGCGGCGTCTCAGTATACCGCGAGCTGTAGCTCCCTATATACTGAGCTTAGGGTGACGGGAGGACGCTAGTTTGTGTCCTCCTGTTACCCTAAGGAGAACTATGGAGAAAAGCCCTAACCCCACAGTTCTCTTGTAAAGGATCTGCTCATCCCTTAAAGGACCACTCCCTATTAAGTTATAACTTGTATCTCCAATCCACAAAATCGCAGGAAAGCCGCATGCACGGGAGCAATGCATTGGTCCAGTGAGGGCTGCCGCGCCCAATCCCGCCGTTCGTGTTGTCACCGAGGACGCAAATCCCTCCGACGGATGAAAGTTTTGACGCGAATTCAAATCCGGCAACTTCCTTCATTAGCAGAAGTTTCTGCGGGAAGTTTGTGCTGTGAAATCACTGACGTGCGTCCTGCGGAGCCGAGTCTCTGCGTGACTTCCCGGCCGCGCCGCGTGCGCTATTAGTAGCAGAATTCCTGGATGGCACTCGATTGCTCTCAGCGCTGTCCCTAATCAGCGGCGGCTGTGGGAGCAGATACGCCGAGCGCCAGGGGAGCCCCTTCTCACCGAATCCTCCTCCTCTACCACCCCCCGACCAAACACGTCTTCCCAATTGTTATTGCAGACGAGTCGCCCCGCAGATCCGCCGTGTCACCGCGCTTCCTTAAAGTGGCCCTAAAAGTAACTCTATGGACGAATAAAGTAGATGGTGACCCTGGATGAGGCCTGAACAAAGATGGTGCCGTCCAGGGGCCTCTCCAGACCGGGCGTCACCCTACCGTGTCGTCATCGTGCGTGATGTCACATCACGCATGCATGGCCATCTTGGTGACGGAGAGAGAAGGAGATGAGGTATGCCTCCGGGGTCCCCTCCTCTCTCCTGACACTGTCGGGCTCTCGGTCCATGACCGAGTGCCCGACTTTTTAGAGGGGGTGACAAAAAAAATGACCGTCAGTCATTTTGGTGTCACCCCTGCAATGGTGATACAATATTTATATTCGAATGTAATAGCACATTATGGCCAATAGGTGGTGCTGAGGAGCAGAGATAATAAATACTTATTATTAGGGGTGCGCCAATACTGATACTAGTACTCGTACTCGCCCAAATGCTCCGATACTTACCCCCGACACCGGAACTTCCTGTCAGAGGGAGATTTCCTCTGAACAGCAGTGTCGCGAGGGAACATGGAGCCGGCTTCCCAGCCAATCATGAAGCTGGTGCGGCGGATAATGACTTGACGCCCGGCTTCCTGATTGGCAGGGAAGCCAGCTCCATGCCATTTGGGCGGCTCCATGCTGGTTGGCTTGAGAAGCCAATCAGCAATGAGCCAGCCAAACAGCATGGAAACGGCTTTGCAGGCAATCAGGAAGCCGGGCAAAGGGTAATGACCTGCCTCCCGGCTTCCTGATTGGGCGGGAAGCCGGCTCAATGCTGAATGGCTGGGAAGACGGCTTCACGGCGAATCAACATCAAGGGCAGCCAAAAAGCATAGAGCCGGCTTCCCGGGCAAACAAGAAGCCAGTGCGGCAGATAATGACACGCCGCCTGATTGGCCAGGAAGCTGGCTTCAAGCTGATTGCTGGTAAAGCTGGCTTCCCGGCCAATCAGCATCGATCCGGCCATACAGCATGGAGTTTGCTTCTGGGACAATCAGGAAGCTGGACAGCAGGTAACGACCCGCCTCCTGGCTTCCTAATTGGGCGGGAAGCCGGTTTGATGCTGATTGGTTGGGAAGCCAGCTACACGGCCAGTCAACATCAAGGCAGCCAAACAGCCTTGGCTGGGAAGCTGGCTTCACAACCAATCAGCATAGAGCCGGCTTCCAGGGCAAACAAGAACCCGGGAGGCAGGTAATGACACTCTGCCTGGCTTCCTGACTGCCCAGGAAGCCGGCTCCATGCTAGCAGCAGTACTGGTATTAGTATTAGGTATCAGCGAGTACCGAAATATAAATATTGTATACAGAAAAACCAGTATCGGTGCATCCCTACTTCTTATAAATAAATCCTTATTACTTAGTAAAGGAAATACTTGTTTTCTATGATCCTTTAGCTCCACCTAGTGGCCGTAATGTGATATTACAGGAAAACAATCCAAAAACGGCCCTGTGAATTGTTCATAAATAGACCCCTGTGCTGTATATGGGTTTAATCGTGAAAATTGGAAAAGCTGAAGAGCGTAGAGCAGGGGTGCGCGTAAGGTCGATCGCCATCTACCAGTCGATCGCTTAGCGAGCAGTGGTAGATCGCGATGGCCTCTCCTCCTGCTTCTCTGGATCCCCGCTGCCCTCCCCATCTGTATGCAGCGGGGATCCGAGAAGAAGTGAAGGGACCGCTGCAGCCGGTGGCGGGGGAGGGCAGAGAAGGGAGCCGCCGTCACAGAACTAAGGCCGAGCGGTGAGGAGAGAGGGAGACGCTCAGCCAGGTTCTGACAACCGGCGCCTCTCTCTCCCCTCACCGCTCGGCCTTCGTTCTGTGACAGCGGCTCCGTCCTCCAACCACAACCCCCCCGCGGCTGAAGTACTTCTTTCACTTCTCGTCGGATCCCCCGCTGCTACTGCCCGGGAGAGCAGGGGGGATCCAGAGGAGACTTTGCAGCCCCCCTCCATGCGTGGTCGAGCGGCAGAGGATCGGTACATATCACTAGTATGTACCGATCCTCTGTGCAGGACAAACACTGGAGCAATCGGCTGATCACTCCGGTGTTTGTAAATAACTGGAGACACATAGTACTACGTGTCCCCAGTTATGAATGGGCAGGATGTGATTTACATCACGTCCTGTTCATGCATGAGTTTCTCAATGGGGAGGAACACTCTGTACAGAGGCTCCTCCCCATTCAGAAACTGGATGATAGTAAAATATTTTCTGAATGAATGGGGAGGAGCCTCTGTGCTTTCCATTCGTTTAGAACAGAGGCTGCAGAAAAAGAGATTGAGGACTTTGTGTCCTCAATTTCTTTTTCTATTTTAAAAAGGGAAATTTTAGGGGGCTGTTTAGATTTCCCCCCAAAATTCGTGGACGCCTTCCCAGAAGAGTTTGAAGCTGTTATAGCGGCAAAGGGCGGAGCCAACCCGATACTGAACCCTACGGATTAAAGTTCATGAATGTATGTGTGTGATTTGCAGAGACCCCCAGCAGGACACGCTGGTACTTGCCTAGTCAGGCCCCACCGAATCATCATCCAGGAACACAGATCACTGAACAACTGCTCTACCACAGCGCCCCCTAGTGATCAAACCCAGTGCATACCTCCTCCCAAGAGCCGGCCCACTGCTTACATCAAGAGCTCTTGAGAGGAGTACTGAGGTAGCGCGCTGTGATGAAGCTATGTACAGCACCCTGCTGGCCCCTCCCACCAGCCTGCAATGCACAGAGACCCAATGATGACACCACCGCATCCCTAATAAGGCGAGTAATGAAAACAGAAAGGTTTAATTTAAAAATTTCATCAGCATGTTGATAAGAGAGGGGGAACCATGGAAACCAAAATATAAGCAGCTATAAGATCATGTTTACAAAATAGAAGCACCTTCAATCATATTATTTTGCCTTAATATCCCTCTAATGCATTTCCTGCGAAGCAGTCCGGTGTGACTGGGCCCCGTTCCGGCTGGTCTCTGGTCCATACATTGTATCCTGCCGCGTTCTCTGCTCAGACCCGCCGCAGAGGGGAACGCACGTCCTCGGCACGCAGCACTTCACGTCTGGCTGGGGGATTAGATCCGATATTCCCCCTTCCAATGGCTGACAAATCCCAACTCTCCAGCAGCGGGTATTACTCTGTATTGTCCCCCGTCCGTCTCAGCTTGTAATGCTCTTCCGGCAAATTCCGGAGACGTTCAGCCGCCTGAGAGGGGAAATATGAAATATCTGCCGAGTTATAAAATGTACATTACAGAGGATAGAGGGTGCATATTGAGGAGGAGATTTCCCCTCACTTCCTGTCCAAACAGGAAGTCCAAGTCATGGTAGAACTAGTGGTAGATGGTCATCTTCATACCCCAAAATGTATACCCCACCATACCAGGAACATACCCCAACATTTATACCCCACCACACCAGGAACATACCCCAACATTTATAACCCCACCATACCAGGAGCATACCCCAACATTTATACCCCCGCCATACCAGGAACATACCCCAACATTTATACCCCC